CAGATGAGCTGAAGGCCACTGTCAAAGAAACCTGGGCTTCCATACCACCTCAGCAGTGCCACAAACTGATCACCTCCATGCCACGCCGAATTGAGGCAGTAATTAAAGCAAAAGGAGCCCCTACCAAGTATTGAGTACATGTACAGTAAATGAACATACTTTCCAGAAGGCCAACAATTCACTAAAAATGTTTTTTTTATTGGTCTTATGAAGTCTTCTAATTTGTTGAGATAGTGAATTGGTGGGTTTTTGTTAAATGTGAGCCAAAATCATCACAATTAAAAGAACCAAAGACTTAAACTACTTCAGTCTGTGTTCATTGAATTTATTTAATACACGAGTTTCACAATTTGAGTTGAATTACTGAAATAAATGAACTTTTTCACGACATTCTAATTTATTGATATGCACCTGTAAATTTAAGTGGTTGAGATCAGAATGCACATTTGTATACACTGACTACAGTAATCTTTCCATGCATTTATATGGTTCTTTTTTTTCTCCACACACATCTCTATAAGTAGAAAATTTTGAAACACAGACTCTCAGGCAATCAATGAGAAGTTTGACACAAACATGACGGGTCTCCATACATTTAGCTGTTTTCTGTGTGATGCCGTGGTAACACGGTGAATCATTTCCTTTCATAAGAGCATGTCTCCACTGACAAGGCAATTACTTTGTGTGTTCACACCACTGTTTTTCTATAAACTACGATAAAATAAAATGAATATAGACTGAGCTCTCTATCACTGTTCAGCCTATCAGTTTTTAGCCTCACATATTTGGCTTACATAATTATTCTAAATTGATTTACGGTTCACACTTCCTCAGAAACTGACTGCACTTCACTTAATAACCTCACAATGTCTTCCATATGTGATGTTTGCTTGCACAAGATTCTTGACATTTCAAAACATTTCCTACTATTTAAGTTATCCAAACAAACTATTGTATATTTGAGAGTTGAGCAGGATAGTGATGGATAGTGGATAAATGGATATCCACTGTTGAATAATCTAATGTTAGATAGTACATATTGACTTACTGAACAAAATATACAACTTGCATATCAATCTGAATTATTTTGGTTAACTTATCAGGAAGGTTAAAAGGGAGCAAAAGGGATTTTTTTTCTTTAAGTATTTCAATGTATATCAGTGAATATAATTTTTTTTATATACATCTGTTAATTGTCTGGAGATAATGGAAGATAGGAGGTCTTGAAAACATTCTTCTATTTTTGAAAGACATTGGCAGTCCACACACAGATGACAAGAAACAGGATTACACACAACTCACTATTTTTACTACAAAAATTGCATTGAATGGTGCGTACATGTCACTTTTTCTTAAGGACAAATTTAAGGAACCATCTCAACTAATGCTGTAAATTATAGAGAATCCTGTCAGTTAGTATATAATTATAATACATAAGGTTAAAATAAATAACTAGTAATAATTATTCTAAATCAATTAATTCAATTTCCATTTATTTTTAGATATAACAATCAGCACTCAAATAAAACGGTATATAAACATTTAAATTGCATAAGGCAGTTTTTATATCAACTTTTTAATGACATAATTATGTTTCTACTCCAATTCATTGCTGAAATTAAATATTTAAACAGTGGCTGTCATAAAAAATACTGTTTTCATGACTGGTTTATTCAAGCATATATGAAATATAACATCACTAACAGGTTAAAGTAAAAATATATTGAATATGTAATATATTCAGCAAAATGCACTTCTCTTCTCTTTTTTTGTCTCTTTTTTTTTTTAGTTGACTAACGAGCTTTGGACATTGAATATATAGATCAGTGGGCCTTTCATGCAGCTACAGGAATCTAGCTGTATGTGAATGTAAACCTAAAATGTAAAGCCGAAAGTACACGAAAAAATAAAGTTATTGTCTCCCAAAAGAAAGAAAAGACTCTGAACAGCCTAAACGAGTCGTCAGTAATTAAAAAATTCAAATCCCACTTCCGTGATGGCTACACGTCATGGGGTAACATATTTGCATAATGCCCACATATGTTCTACGTTAGCCAGCCATTTTTTCCACTGTACCACAGCAATACAACCCCAATCTTTTTTTGTGTTCCCGTCATTTTACTGATGTCTGCTTCTCTAATCTTGGGGAGTTCAAAGCAGGATTCACAAAACGCTTGCTCTAGAAAGATGGATCAGTACCCTGTTTATTTGGACCAGCACGCTCCACTGAATCATAACCTGTAAGCATGATAAATAATAGATGTTTATATTTTTTATCGAGCATTCAAAATGCGGAACTATGGCAATGGGTGTATCGTTTCCGATATGCGCTGTATGCGGTAGACCAATCACAACAGACTGGGCCATCTGACCAATCAGAGCAGAGTAGGCTCACAGAAAGGAGGGGTTTAGAGACTGAATCTTAGAACTGCTTCGAACGAATCGTTTGAGAATCGGTGGAAAATTAGGTGATATTAAAAGCATATTTTGAGAAAACGAAATCGTTTTTTGACCTTGCATGCATGTAAACCTATTGTAGGAAACTCCCAAAACAATATTAGGAACCATAAAAATGGCATAATAGGTGCAACTCAAAAACATTTTAAATAAAAAATATCAATAATTTCTGGAAAAAAAAAAGTCCGTAGCAAGGTTACCGTTGCTAGTCCTGTCTCTTCTCATCGCACCCACACCTGATTGGTCTGTTGCTAATTAACCTTTTGCCCTGTTTACACCTGGTATTAAGATACGTTTTGGTCAATCGGATCACAAGTAGGCAAGGGAGACACATTCCCATTTACACCTGGGGTTTTAATCCATCTCTTTTGTCCAGTTTCGACCACTTCAGTCCTGATTTTGATGGGAGGGTCTATTGGCGAGTGTATGTGTGGGCTTTTTCTGATCTTTTGATCTAATATTGCGAAATAGGCTCACACAACTTAGTACATGAAAGGAGACAACGGAAAACAATACGGAGAGCAGCAGCTTTCATTTCTGCTATGATCGCTGCAAAACAATGTTGAACACTGTGAGTTTGTTTTAGAATCAGGACTGGTAAGACAACATTGGCATTTTTTTGCCTTCACACCAAACTTACTTAACTTACTTACTTAAAAACTGTCTGGCTAAAACACTTCAACAACACATCCTGTGATGTTTTAGAATTAGGTCAGTAGGCAAAGAAGAGGTGGTCTTTTGTGGCTGTTTGAATTCATTTGACCACGAGTGCCCACACTATGCGAGCAATCCGATCGTATGCGGTTTTGACAACCTCTGGAAGTGGTTGAAAGTCGACAAGCTCAAAACTTTTTACACCCCGTTCACACCTGCATTTAGCATTGTCCACTTGTGATCGGATCAACCAAAACGCATCTTAATACCAGGTGTAAACAGGGCCTCTGAGGTGACTGACATGCTGCTACAGAATTTCTGATCTAAACAACCTCAAACTGCCATGATGTGATGTCGGTGATAAAGTGGAAAGTAACTCTTACATTTAAGAACTAAACCAGCACTGTCAGATTTTTTTATGCATTTGAAATACATTTTATTAAATTATTACAATTTTTACTCTGTAATGGAATACATGAAGGACAATGGAGACCTTGTTGAATTTATTTTCACCCCAACATTCAATAGTCCTTAATAAAAATCAATTATCCTGAGCGTTGCTTCTATGGTCTACACAAATGTGTGGAAGTCATGCTCTTGACTTGATGACATCTTAGTAATTGAAACCAGTATTCAAAAATAAATAGTTGGCATTGCAATTGAAAATCAAAAAACTCAAAGTATTCACATTGTCCAGCTGGCAGTTTAAGAATTGCATGAAGCAACAAGAAACTTTATTCATCAGCATTTCCATAGCTGTGAATAATTTTTGTTATAGTGATGAGTGGAGATATCTTGCCATGAACATATCAATCTGTCTGCATATGGCAATGTGTCAAAAACCAAACTATGTGTCACAGCTTGAACAGGAAGTGTCCGTTGTAGAGGTGCTGTTGCCACCCAAAGCAGTGTGCACTGCAGGTGACGAACTGTCATTTTTGCTCTTTAACCAATGCCCAATGTGCTATTACACCCAATTTGTCTGTCTATCACCGCGCCATTATCTACAGAGTTCAGCAGGATGTCATCGACTTGCTTTGTACTGTCCTCTGGCTCCTCGGGAATGGATGGTGGCAAGCTGTCAGCATCCGAACTGAACACATAGCCTGGCAAGGTGGCATGGGCACTGATAGTTGGCCCCCAGCTGCTGCGGTAGACTCGGCTGGAGAAGAGCATGGTGGAACGGGTGCCTGGGCCACCGGTAGCCAGCTGGGACTGACTGCTGGTGCTGTTGTTAAGGCCCGTCAACACAGAGCCGTAGCGGTAGCTCCCGCACACCACCGGGCCCTTCCAATCAAACGCAAGGTTCCATCGTGTCCATGTCTTCTTGATCTCAGTTTGGACCTGGGGATCAGAGTTAAGATGCTAAAGGACCCTAAATGTTGAAATGCACAGTGACTTTACAGTATTTGTTCAATGGAAAATGATCCGCAGTTTAGCCCGCATAGATTACTGTTTTACTCACTGCATGAAGAACATCAAAAATTGTCATAATTTAGAAATAAAAGGACATTTTCTACCCTGGTTTTGCCCTCTGATTTGAACATTCTGTTTGAAGGGGCGTGTCTGCTGTGAGACTTCACTGGAAACGCCACGTTGCTATGATTGGCTAACATCTTGGCTAAGCATCATCATCTGCATATGACATTAGCATTACATGTGGAGCTCTCTCAAAACTTTTACTGTTTTTACTATTACAGCTGTTGAGATTAACTAATCATGGAGAGTGTTGATTATAGCATTATATTTAGATTATAGCATTATATTTAGATCTACTCCCATCGCATGAAAGGTTGCAGCGATAAGCATTGTGAGAAGGGTCTGCCTGCAGACATGCACTTGCACTCTCAGACTTGTACTCTCAGACACCTGCGCTTCCGCAAGTGACATCACTTGCAATTTTTTTAATATGCTATATATATAAATTTTTTATATGAATATGCTATTAAAAGATTCGAAATTCGATATACAGTTTATTAATACAATGTAGGCCTAATACAAGGCAAGCAGATATAGTATATGAACCAGTATATGAACACAATGTGCAATTTAACGCATTGCGTTTTGAGCTCATCTGCTTGCCTGTATGGATCTTAGTACATTAAGCCATATTAAGTGTTTATGGCTTTCTATGGGAGGAAAACACTTAACGAGAGACTTTGCGCATTGAGTTCATATTCTGCTGTTCTGTTGCCACGGATTTGCGGGTCTTGTCTTTTTTCTGCTACATGTGACTTGCAGGACCCTGTACATTATGGTACTAAATTAGTTTTAATCGTTTAACCACCACAGTATCTCGTCTCCATTGGCAACACGCACCATTTGTGTCAATTGCAAGTGACGTCGCAGGTAGCGGAGAGTGCAGGTGGCGATTGCAAGTGACATTGTAATTTTGTTTCTTTTTTTCTTGTCTTCACCACCTGGCTACTGTTGTAAAATGTTGAGAGATTCAATGTAAATAAATAAATAAATAAAATAAAAATAAAAAAAGATTGCAAGTTTACAGTATTTGTTCAATGGAAAATGATCCGCAGTTTAGCCCGCATAGATTACTGTTTTACTCACTGCATGAAGAACATCAAAAATTGTCATAATTTAGAAATAAAAGGACATTTTCTACCCTGGTTTTGCCCTCTGATTTGAACATTCTGTTTGAAGGGGCGTGTCTGCTGTGAGACTTCACTGGAAACGCCACGTTGCTATGATTGGCTAACATCTTGGCTAAGCATCATCATCTGCATATGACATTAGCATTACATGTGGAGCTCTCTCAAAACTTTTACTGTTTTTACTATTACAGCTGTTGAGATTAACTAATCATGGAGAGTGTTGATTATAGCATTATATTTAGATTATAGCATTATATTTAGATCTACTCCCATCGCATGAAAGGTTGCAGCGATAAGCATTGTGAGAAGGGTCTGCCTGCAGACATGCACTTGCACTCTCAGACTTGTACTCTCAGACACCTGCGCTTCCGCAAGTGACATCACTTGCAATTTTTTTAATATGCTATATATATAAATTTTTTATATGAATATGCTATTAAAAGATTCGAAATTCGATATACAGTTTATTAATACAATGTAGGCCTAATACAAGGCAAGCAGATATAGTATATGAACCAGTATATGAACACAATGTGCAATTTAACGCATTGCGTTTTGAGCTCATCTGCTTGCCTGTATGGATCTTAGTACATTAAGCCATATTAAGTGTTTATGGCTTTCTATGGGAGGAAAACACTTAACGAGAGACTTTGCGCATTGAGTTCATATTCTGCTGTTCTGTTGCCACGGATTTGCGGGTCTTGTCTTTTTTCTGCTACATGTGACTTGCAGGACCCTGTACATTATGGTACTAAATTAGTTTTAATCGTTTAACCACCACAGTATCTCGTCTCCATTGGCAACACGCACCATTTGTGTCAATTGCAAGTGACGTCGCAGGTAGCGGAGAGTGCAGGTGGCGATTGCAAGTGACATTGTAATTTTGTTTCTTTTTTTCTTGTCTTCACCACCTGGCTACTGTTGTAAAATGTTGAGAGATTCAATGTAAATAAATAAATAAATAAAATAAAAATAAAAAAAGATTGCAAGTGACGTCACTTGTGGAAGTGCAGGTGTCTGAGAGTGCAAGTCTGAGAGGACAAGTGCATGTCTGCAGCCAGACCCTATTGAGCATTGTAGCCGATGACAGACTGTTAAGCGCATGAATGCAGTGATCTCATCATTGCCACTCGAGTTTTGCACTTTCACAAATGTTTTCATCATAACTAACAGTGGAAACACAATGTAAATAAGAGATTTATTGTGCAGTGTAGACTGGGTCATTGAATAAACTCATCTCACGTGTGATAGACAGCTCCAATGATTATAAAGGGGGCATTCTTTGATCGCTCTCTGTATATAATTTAAGATTAGGCATTAGAATGAACACGGTTACTTATTATTACTGACAGTATTACTGTCAGGTCCATATATTACAGTAAAAGTCTGTTTGCAAAGCCTGTGCAACAACAACAGACACCTGCATTGACAAGCACTTGTGTGAGGGGGTTGTGAGATAGCAGCAACTTAGTTTAAAGAGTACAAAGACATTTTTATCGGTCTTAAAGGGTTAGTTCACCCAAAAATTAGCCCATAAATTACTTACCCTCAAGTCATCCTAGGTGTATATGACTTTCTTCTTTCAGACGAATCCAGTCGGAGTTATATTAAAAATTGTCTTTGATCTTTCAAGCTGTTTAATGGCACTCAGCGGGTGTTGCATGCATCAGTCCAAAAGAAGTGAAATAAAAAGCGCCCATCCATAAAAAAAGGGTCTCACACGGCTCCGGGGGGTGAGCAAAGTCCTCCTGTAGCGAATCGATGCGTTTTTGTAAGAAAAATAACCATATTTAAAACGTAATAATCCATTTAATCTAGCTTGCGTTCACTGTTGTAAACGGAAGCAGTTCCGGGCGGATGACGTATGAGGTCGGCATTGCGCATGCGCCGCTCAGAAGTGACACACGCAGAAGTGCAGGGGAGAGATCAAAACAAAACAACGGTCACTAATTAGAAGTAATATACACCTAGGATGACTTGAGGGTGAGTAATTTATGGACTAATTTTCATTTTTGGGTGAACTAACCCTTTTAGTTCTGGAGAAAAATAGAGCAGACGCTGGACAAAGATGAAGCTATCTAGAGTGCATGTGTCGACTGCCTGCGTTCGCGTACAACTCAAATGGAGTATACTTTGAAAGGCTGTGCGTTCAGCTGTACAAAAACGAAGTACACTTTGGGCTTAACCCTCTAGTTGGCAGGGCCAAAGATGCAATGATGCAGAAGATTAAACAGCTTGAAAGATTAAAGACTATTTTTAATATAACTCCGACTGGATTCGTCTGAAAGAAGAAAGTCATATACACCTAGGATGACTTGAGGGTGAGTAATTTATGGACTAATTTTCATTTTTGGGTGAACTAACCCTTTTAGTTCTGGAGAAAAATAGAGCAGACGCTGGACAAAGATGAAGCTATCTAGAGTGCATGTGTCGACTGCCTGCGTTCGCGTACAACTCAAATGAAGTATACTTTGAAAGGCTGTGCGTTCAGCTGTACAAAAACGAAGTACACTTTGGGCTTAACCCTCTAGTGGGCAGGGCCAAAGATGCAATGATGCAGAAGTAGGCTTTGATCTGATTCTGCAGAGGCAGGCTTTCTTTTCACTATTACGTCATAATGTGACAAAATCTGAAGCGAGTCATTTTTTAATCTTGCTTTCAATAAAAGCTGTTTTTGGACTAATGAGGAAGTTTTGAGCTCTGAAACGCACAGGATGTTTTTATAGTACAATAACCTCTTACATGTCAAAACATTAAGGAAAATTTTATTTCTCAATTCATGACCCCTTTAAAATTCAAACATGAATTTAAGGAAGGAGATCTAAAAATAAAAAGAATTTTATTTAGCTAGAAAAGCAAACTTTACATTTTGGCTTGTTTGTAAGATTTGAAGGAAGTTTTATAGACAAGAAGGATGGATGGATGTTTTATTTTTATTTTATATTTAGTTCATATATAATCTTTCATATTTAATAAATTCACTTTTGTGGATCAGGGAGAAAGAATCTTCATTTCTCAGAATGCATTAGGGGTGCGTGGGGCACAAACTAACACAGGGTTAGTTGTAACACACGGGTTAAATATTTCCACACATGCTAGCATAACAAAATTTATGGTATTTGCTAGGTGCCATATCAACACTATACAGAGAAAAAAAATTGCTAAAATTCAAAAATCTTTTGAAGATATCACTGAACATTTATTTTACCATAGCAAAAGTAAATTTCTGTCTGAAGTCAATTTTTCATCTCAGTTTTTACTGTTAATTTAAAATGAAACAAATCTGCTATTATTTGAATATCAAATCTGTTATTTAGCAGTTTAGATAGTTTTTTTAATGCTTTGCTAACTAGCAGACGACACTAAACAGTTTTAAATTCCAAATGCGCAGATGGGGAACATTGTAACAGTGCGTTACAATGTGCCCCGCTATTATTAGAACTATGCTATTCTGTGACATTAGCGATGTAATTTACACTATTTACATTCATGAATTTTATTAATAAACCACGAGCAACAGGTGAATAAACACTGAGAGTCAATGTATATTATTCAAAAATTATTATTTCAAGAAATGTAAAGCATTTTGGCTCAATTATTTGTCACATTTATCTGTTCTGTGAGAGCTGTGTGTGGAAGGAGGAAAGTGTTGCGTTCATCTTTGTGTTTTTCTGAATGTCTGAATGTGTTTCTTCATCTATTTGCCCACACTGCTTTGAACTATGCTGTATAGCTGTGTGTTGCGATCAGGGCCGTCCCAAGCATGGGGCCCTGGTTGCAATGTGTTTATTGTCAAACTCCAAAATAAGATTATTTTTAAGTCCTTAAAAAAATGCCAATATTTTATTTGAAAAAGTCAATAATTTTATTCTATTGACAAAATATTTTAGTTTGTCTTGTATATATATTTTTTTCATTAGATCAGGTAACATTTTAAGCTGTCATATAGTCATGTTACAATGTACCCCACCTATGGGACATGTTGTCACATTTCACTTCCATTCTTTTGGGGTAAATAAAGAAAAAAGTATACACTTTAATGATGAAAAAGCACATATTTGTACTAGACAAGTGTGAAATTAATGTGGAAAAAAATTATATTCTGAGTATGAACTCCATGTGGATTTTCACAAAATTGAGAAAGTCAAAAAGAGTTAGGTTGTGCCCTGCTGTCCCCTACCTGTTACGAATTTCTTTCAAATACAATTGAGTAAATTCTTCTTCCTGTCATTTCAAATGGTGTAGCCAATTAAATTCAAATTCACACTCAGGAATTGAAAAGGTGCTAATCCTTTAAAGGGGTCATATGATGTTGCTAAAAGATCTTCATTATGCGCCAAGAGCTTGTAACACTTCAAAGAGAAAGGAAAAATTGAAATTGCATCATATGACCCCTTTAATTCTGAATTTTGCACAAAGCTGATTTTGGCATTCAACAACTAGACAGGTCAAAACAGATTAAAGAACAACAGCCTACCCCGACAGCTGGATTGGTGAACACTTAAAACTCCACACTTGTTCTACCCAAAGCTTGTTCCGATTTGTCTATTGTTTTAAAACTAGCTCAAGTGCTTAAGTTTAACTACAGTATGTTTAAATTAATAGCAATATTGTTACATTTACATAGCATTCACAGCTTTTTAGTGGGTGGTGGGATCTCCATTAACACCACCAGTTTGTAGCATCTGCCTGGCTGAAGCAAGACAGCCATAGCGTGCCAAAACGCCCACCATACACTGACTGTTGGTGGAGTGGAGACCAAGTGATGGAGCCAATCAATTTAAATAGTAGGAGGCTTTGATGGATGGAGGCCAAAGAGCAATTTTGGCCGGCATGCCAGGGTTGTAGAAGCCCAGAAGCCCCCTGGGATTGCTAATGACCTCAGAGAGTCAGGGCCAGTTTAACATCTCATCCGAAAGACTGAGTCGGCCACTGGGTGAGCATTCCCTGCTGGCCTCGCTAACACCTTGTCCGACAGCAACCTAGTTTTCTCAAGAAGGTCTCCCATCCACATACTAACCAGTCTCAACCCTGCTTCACTTCAGTGAAAAACGGGCTTTCTAAACAAGACACCATAAAGCCAAGCTCACACTACAAGAATAAAGCTCATCGTCCTTGGTTTTAGTGCGCAGACACCGCCAGAAGGTAGGCAACAGCAGTTTAACTAGAACATGTCAAGTGTGCAACTCTTCTTAGTGTGTGAGATCCACTGCAGCTGTATCCCAATTCAGAGGCTGCATCCTTCGATGGCTTTATTTGAAGACCACATTCAAATACAGCCTCGAAATTCATCCTTCATTTCCCGAGCCATCAAGTATACAAAAAATGGATTCCTCATGGCCCAGACTATCCCAAAACTCATTGCGCACTGGCAACAACAGGACTTTTTTTATTTGTTTTGTTTTTTTGAGAAAAAAATGCTGGGTTACACTTTTAAACAATTACTGGGTTTCAACTTGCTTAAATATGTAATGGATGCAAATGTTACAAAGTTGTTTAAAGTGTTGACTTGTATCTTACTAAGATACAATTTTAGAGATAGTTCATACTTTTTATGTACATAAATGGACCAAGGTTAACATATTTAGACAGGTTGTGGACCCTGTTTTGTTTTCAGACAGCTGAATATAACTTTAAAAAATACAAAAGTCCAGTATAAACATTACTGCTGCTTGTCAACGGCAGCTGGTATGGTTGCAAGGCAACAAGAGCCATGCTCCTTAAGCCAGACCGTCCCATTTAACAACACTCGGTCTGACCTTCATGGCCTTTGAAGGCATAGCCTTTGAAGTCTCCGTACTTACAAGAATGCAGCCCCTGAATTGCACTTAAAAATAGGTTCCAAAAGGTTCCAAAAAAAAAGGTTCCAAAGGGGTTTTCACAGTGATGCCGTAGAAGAACCATTTTGGGTTCCCCAAAGAACCTTTCAGTGAACAGTTCTTAAAAGAACCTTTTTTTTTCTTAGTGTAAAAAACATTTTACTAATCTAAAGAACCTTTTTCAACTATGAAGTGGAAGTTCTTTGGAGAACTTGGTTCTTCTAGCATTGCTTTGAAAACACCCTTTTGGAATCTTTATTTTTGAGAGTGTATGAATGTTAAAGGTTCTTCATGGAACCATAGATGCCAATAAAGAACCTTTATTTTTAAGAGTGTGGTCTATGATTATTTGTGTACAGGGTGCACCAGCATAACAGAAAACAAGAAATAAGAAGTCTTTACATGTGTGACAGGGACACATGTCCAAAAACTATGAGAAAACAGCACTGAATGCAATAGCACATCCTGTGATAACCCCCCTTATTACTGTGAATAAGCAGCTTTGCTGATGCTCACCTCTCCATTACAGTAGCAGTAGATGATAGACACAAAGAAGCCCTAGAGGAAAACAAAAATAGATGTTAGCTAAGAAAATTAATGTTTGTTTTTGTTTTTTTATTTATGGTGCAGGATAATTTATGTGGCAAAGATTAATCGGTAACACTTTACAATATGGATCATTAGTTAACATTAGTTAACTAACTATTTTAGTTAACATGAACTACGAATGAACAATACTTCTACACCATTTATTCATCTTTGTCAACGTTAATTTCAACATTTACTAATGCATTATTAAAAACTAGCCTACACCATGTTACAGCACAGTAGCGCTACTGCAAACCGGAACAAGTAGGCCAATTACAAAAAAAAAAAAAAAAACAACACATGTATAAAGACATTAATTTGTAAGTTCGGTCTTGATTTGGTGATAAAGAAATAACGATTAATCTCTGGAAAATGTTCATATGTTATACAGCACAGTGTCACAAAGCAAGGCCAGACACAACAGGTAAGTGCAAATCAGGATGGTTTTATTGACTGGGTAAGGGGATGACTGGAATAGGTGTGTAAAGGCAGGTGAGTGTCAACACAGTGAATGGTTCCAGGGTGCTTATCTGAGTTCTGATGGTGAGGATCGGATGCCGGTTACGTTGGAGATCGTGGAACAGTTTCCAAGGAGTCGTTGGAGGATCGCGGGATGAACAGCAGGTAATTCGTTCTAGGAGAATTTGGCAGAGAGAGTCCAGAGAAGTTCGTAGGAGTGAACGGTAGACCGGACAGTGAGTGACTGTGCTGTGTGTGTATTTGTAGTGTGGCTTGATTGGTGACAGCAGGTGCGGGTGATCAGAACTCAGGTGACTGTGATCGGGTAATTATCCTGGATGGTGACTGAAGTGACTGTGATGAATCCCTGACACACAGTTAATTCATGCACTGGTCCATGTTTTTTTCTTGGTCACGGATTGTTTTCAGTGATTCGGAATCATTATTTCCATATTGGGTGTTTAATTAGTTGACACCGACCACCTGTTTAGTTTATATATTATATTTAGCAGCATAAAAACAAATGAAATGCTTCTGCATTTCATTAAATAATTTTATTGCATTACCCAGTTCTGTGAATGTGGCTGTGTTTCTGACGATACCATAAGTGTAAAGGGAAGTGATGTATTCTTGATGGGAAGGACATGCATTGAATCGTGTCATCCAGCTCCACATAAAAAACTCTTAACCTAACCAGCACCTGTTATTTAAGACAACTGAACTTCTCAGACAGAAATCAATGTGGTGTGTCATGAGATGTCAAGCCTATTTGGAGTGCTGTGAATTGGATTGACCCGTCAATATATTTCTCTGTCCTACATACTATGTTTTATTTTGTGCAGTTTGCAACGAGAATCTACATGTCAGCCTAATTCCCATCAACATCTGTGGGTTCATATTAATCAAATTTACTAGTTGTAAATTATTACCATCCATATTTTGTATTCTGTATTAAATATCTGAGCTTTTCCCAAAGAAAACACTTTTTTTCCCTTTTCTTTGCAATATGAAAAATGAAGAACATTTGTAAGAGAACATTACCCATTTCTTTAGCAAAGTAGTTTTTTTTTTTTAGGTTACTTAAATTATAAACACATTTCTTTCATTTTTTTATCAGTTCTTCCTCTGCAACAGTTGAGTATTTTAAGAAATGCGTTTCATTGCCAGATAATTTAAAAAAAATTGCACGTCATCTGTGGCTTGTAAATAGTGTTTTTCCTTCTCTTTTTTTTGTGTCTTTTTCTACCAAATCAATATTAATATTAATATTAATCAATATTATATCAACATTAATCAATGCAAAATGCATGCACAGCATTTTTATAAATATATACAAATTTGAATGTATGATTTTTGGATTATCAAAAGAAAAACATATGCATGTTGACTTTCAGAGATCACTGATTACATTAGCCATTCATAAAGGCATCGTTTCCATGCAAGTACCTGGAAAGAATTGAAGAACAGCTCACAATACATCCGCACCTCCCAGCCAAGACCTTCGAATGTGTGTGGCATTCCAACAAACACAATGTAGTGCACTCCAAACACAAACACCAAAACAAGTGTAGATTTGGCAAGCTTCCTGAACAGAGAGAAATGGAAATATTGTGTGAATAAAAGGGATAGTTCACTCAAAAATTCTATTTACTCACCCTTGTGTCAAAACCTGTATGAATTTCTATCCTCTGTGGAACACAAAAACAGATACTGAGGTACAGTTACATCTGTACAGCAACATTCAGAGAGTGAAATGCAATCATCTCATTAGGGATCAGCGTGATCTGGAAATAACATGAGGGACACAAGGCGACAAATTTCCCCATACCCATTTCCCATCGGATTCAAGACTGTTGAACTTTGAGTGCGATTTTACTGCATTTACCAATACAATAAAATATATACAAGTATTACCAATTGCCGTTTACCAAACCAAACACTGCTTGGTTTAGAAGTGACTTCTAAGTAAGCAGTGCTGCATGCATCGCTTTACTATTGACAATGAACCTACTTTGGTACAAAGTTTCACATTCACATTCTGCCTAACATCTCCCTTTGTGTTCCACAGAAGAAAGAAAATCATACAGATTTGGAATGACATAAGGGTGAGCAAATGATGACAAAATTTTCTTTTTTTTTGTTGAACTGTCAAAAAGCTGAAATGCATTTATATTACAATTAAGTGATATGTATGCACAGTTTCACCCTGTTTATAATAACACAGAATTTTTACTGCCATGTGACCGCCGCTGAAATATCTCCAGTCAAGCAACATGTAAAACTTTTTGTATAGATATTTTGTGCAGGCCAATGATGCCAAGTACAGAGTATGTCTTAGTTGCTATATTATGAATTCAGAAAGTTTGTCTTTAATCTTTGTTTGATGGATGACATCCCACGCACCTCTGTGTGGCTTTAATCAGAATAAAGACATGCGCAACATCTTCTTAATGGCTACGCCTTGCCTGCCAGACAGGTTAAAATGTCTTGCAAATTAGTCATGAAAAGAAACATGAAAAATAATTGGGAAAAAGCAATTCTGGAAGATCCTGAGGCATAAATCCTCTTTTAATAGAAGCCCGGCTAAGTTTGATCAGCCAAAGTGTTCCAGTAAAAGTAGTGTCGTACCAAATGAAAGTCAAATGATGTGCCATGCGAGTGTACAAGGTCATTTGCATTACAGATTTATTTCTATTCAAATTAGAACAAAGCTCTCTTTGGCTGAGCAAAACAGACTATTTGCTGATGTTGGTTTGTAAATATGACTGTCTGTGTCTTCATGTCTTTCTACCAGCTCTGCAAGCTGACACCTGTGGCTCTTTGTACTGCTAATTAACAGGGAAGCAGCAATGATCAAATTGATTACTGTTATTAGCGAAGCAAAATGACATCCACTGGCATTGTGTTTGCTCCAAAACTGGATTCTTTCAGGGTGCATCCAGAATAACATTTTGACATGCCAGACCCAAATATGCTTTTATAGGGTCTAAAAGCATTGTTTTTCTAAGCCAGACAAAAATGGAAGCCAAAATTGTTATTTCGGCATGTAACAAGATCAAATCTATCATATCCAGTGTCTTTAAAATGCGACACTGATTTCAGCATATGATGGAATGATAGAAACCACAACCTGAATCAAACTGCAGAATGAGTAGGCAGAGGGGAAGCTTATTATCGCATCTCTTAGCCACAGGCAATTCTGCCTCCAAGCTGTCAGATGAAAGATTTTGCCTAAATTACATAAGGAAATTAATAGCTGCTGTAGGGACAGCTTCCACTCTCAGAAATCTAATAGCAGAGACGATGCCACTGTAATGACAGAGACAATTCGGGCTGGTACAACACTGAATTCAAAATTTCAAGGCACTTCAATGGATGAAAGTCCAGAATGCCCAGTGGGAGTGAACGCACAAACCTGTACTGTTTCCGTGTGTCGTATCTGCCTGCGTTGGTCTCACGGATCTTGGTGGCGAGAACCCGCACGATATTCACGAACAGGATGAAGTTCAGCTGAGAGAGAGCAAAGAGAATGAACTGAGTAAAAGGTGACAGCTAATAAAATCCCTTCCCCTGCCTAAACATAATTTGGGTAACTGAGAAACTGTAACAAGGACTGAGGATTGATCCATTATGCATAACTGGACAATAAAGCCTGTCAAAGGAGGTCACCAGCAGATGACCGACTAAGTGATGTGATTGACTGCTTTTTCCCAAACGAGTGGGGATGTCATTTGAAAAATGCTCATTTCTATCTGCTTAATTATAATGAGTGGGTTATCTGTGCATGAGATTTTGAGCTCAGTATGAATCAATAAGACAAACAAAAATGCATTCTGTGAGCATAAAATAATTTATGGTATTTGTAATTCAACATTTCACATACAAAAATAACTCAGCTAGATGCATTATTTGGTGTGTAAATTTATTCAGATATTAAGTTATTTAATTTTCTATTATGCATATTACCAAGTGTTTTGGAACAAGTAAGGCTGAGATATAGTTTGCTCGACTGAGCATGAATAATTAATGAAGAAACAAAATAACTCTCCTACAAGCACTGGTGTTGTTGAACATCATGAATTATGATACAAAGTAGTGTGCACATGATTAATGAATGCTTAAACACACAAAGGCTGAAGTAGATGTGAAAAGTGAAATATTATGTGTACTTCAGTTCAGATGCATTTACATTGTGTCTGTGCCTCAGATTCAATCAACAGAAACTGTCTGTAAAGGTGTGAACCAAATGGTCCACCAGTGGTGGACGAAGTACACAAATCAAGTACTTGAGTAAAAGTACAGATACGTATAATAAAATATTACTCTGATGTTAATGTGTCTGCATTCAAGCATTTCAGTGGGCTTAAACAGATCACCCTTTACAGCAGATTTAGTTCACAGACAACTGACAGCTTTGACCTAAATATGATTTTCAGTTACAATAATTCATCCTAAAACTCGACATTAGTAACTTACTTTTAACAGCATCAGACGCGCGCACGCTCACAAGATCTCCCGGTTCTTATTTGTGAATTCAGTTCACTGGAGACTCGCACTAAACGGTTCATTTGAATCAGTGAGTTGTCGACTCGAGAACAGCTGCAATCGGTTCATTCTCATTCGTCAATGAATCGTTTGGTGCGATTTGCGAACCGATTTAAAAGGTTATTGAAAAGAATCAGTTCGTTCTTGAATCAGACACCGCTTCTGCGTCTCGGAGCACGTGATATATTATAAGGAGTAACGATATGTTTTATGAAATGTAGTGAAGTAAAAAGTACGATCTTATGCTTTGGAATGTAGTGAAGTAAAAGTAAAAGTTACTCAAGATAAAACGACTCCAGTAAAGTACAGATACTTGAAAAATGTACTTAAGTAGGCTACAGTAACGAAGTAAAGCTACTCCGTTACTGTCCACCACTGTGGTCCACACAACACCATTCCTCGGGAACTTCTTGTAGATTGCAGGATCTCTAGCGGGAGGCCCTAACTGTATGTTTGTAGCCCTTTTGTCTTCAGGTATAAAGTTCTGTCTCACAGACAGAACTTTGGGAGAAGCTAAGATTCTTATAAGGGTTAAGATATTTTGAAAACTGACAAGCTTAGACAGCTGTTGAAGACCTGCTACACTGCTACCTTCAATAAATTCTTCTCCCACAAGAACTCTGGTAATGCTTACTTATTTTATGTAGTAGAGAAATTTAGTACATTGGTGAGCCACCCAAACCACTGTTCAGCCAAATACAGCAAAATCTAACAAAATTATATTATGTAAAATGTTTTAAAGCTATATTACTTAAGAAACACTTCTTATTTTCAAGTTTCCAAACAACCTTTCAGTAACCACAAAGTCACTTTATTATAAATTTACATATCAGAACGAATAAAAACTTGCTAATAAATGTTTTGTTATAAAAAAAAATCTTTATGATAACTAATGCTCGGGTACAGGGGCGGCAAAAAGCAAAACAAACCTCAACAGATCGCACTGTGAAGGTTACCCGTAAAAACTAACATAAACAGGTTGACTGCATAGCAGTGTCTGCGTACACACATTTCTATTTCTAAAAAAAGAACAAAGAAGACATGAAAATTACTAAAAAGACAAAAAAAAAGGTTGTGAATCATTGAATGATTAAAAAAATTATTGAAAACAAAAACTGAAATTCATGTACAGAATTTCCAGTCTTTCGTGGGCCTTTTAAGTAAATTGAATCTACTCAAACCCAGTACTGTTACTGATGATTCCAATTATTATATATAATGTACTGATGTCTAACTTATCTTTCAGCTATGTGATTACCTGCCTGCCTCTGTATCCTTGAGGATGAGTGATGAAGAATGAGCTGATTGTACTGTAGAGCATTATAAGATGACCTAAACACCCTGAACTTCAAAGGTTCTATAGTGCAAGATTCTTTTCAATTAATAATACGGCGAGGAATAAAACAAGTATGTTGGACACATGTTAGGTGTTAGATATCTATTCCACTACCACTACATTTGCAATTAAATATATTTTATTACAGGGGCTATTCACAGTATAAAAACTATTCAGTATAAAAACATGGAAGCAATTTACACTGAGTGTAAACAGTGGCAGATAACATTTGCACCAAGTAAAAATAGTATAAATATCATCTTATTTGCACCAAGATGTAAATAGCGACAAATGATATTCATACAAAGTGCCTCTGCCAGCATGACTAAGAACAACAAATGAAGAGTTAATTTGCAAAAACCGATAAACGCCACTTTAAAAAAAAAATGAGCTGATTGCCGTGCATTATTCTCCAGATATAGCGCGATCTGAACCCTAAACACGTTTTGTCAAAAATGCCGGTTTTGTCCACTTTCAATGCATCGCGAGTTCACATTTGTGACCCTGGACCACAAAACCAGTCTTAAGGGTTACATTTTACTGCAGAAGCCGACAAGCGCCCTTGTTGTTTTTGAACAGAAGCCGATAAGTCAATTTTAGCGAATCAGCGCACTGTATTCAGGTCAGGTGACAAAAAGACTACTTTCACTTTGAAAAGACGTGCTAGTTGAGAGGAGTTTCGTCAAACTGTATTGCGTGTAATAACATCCATACAGTTTATGATCACAACAACAACAACGTTTGTCAGGCATCTACATTGTCATCTGAGGAGATTACAAAGATTAAACAAGTGTTTTTTTTAACTCTAAAACATGAAATGTTGAGTTATCTGCTTTTGTCAAAAAACGACTGTTGGAGTTAACTTTAATTTTGTAAATTACCTGTATTTGTTTAAGTTATTATTACTTAATCAAAACAACCCAACTGCAGTTTGATTGATATTACTTGGAATGCGCAATAAAAATAAAATGATTTCTGAAAAAAAAAACAAAAAAACAATGGAGTTATCGGTTTTTGCAAATGAACTCTTCAAATATTGTCCTTTAGAAAGTCTGTAACCCAAGAATAAATTCTTTGATAGTCCGGTTCTGTAGAGAACCAACCATCCAGAGTCAAGTTCACCCCTGCTCACAGAGTGTCATGATGGGATCCATCAATCTCACAGCTCTCCACTCTGTTCATGATAGGACACTCAGGAATACATCAGCAGTGACCCTCTCTGCTACCTGGATGGCAGTAGATTGCCCAGAAAGCAGCTAGCTGCAGGCAATCAACAGCAGCTGTGAGGTCCGGAGCCATACAGAAACGATGGTGTCATGTGACCAAGCATCAAACTGCTGGACTACGCATACTAGTGATAGACCTATCTGCGCTAAGATTTGCTGAGAAATATCTGAATCTGGAGTGATAAAGGATGAGTACTAAACATTTCGTAGCTTGCTAGAAGTCTGTATTTAGAGTGGAAAAGAGGCAATAATTAAATTTCAGTGGCCTTGACTGAGAAGCAGCTTTCAAAATGCATTCACCATGTAACCATTTAAAGCTAAAATAAATTATAGTTGACTGCATATATTGAATCACAATATATAATATATATTTTATAAATAGGTGCATGTACACTATAGTTTGGAGTCTGTAATTTTTTTTATATTTTCGAAAGAAGCCTACCATACTCATGAAGGCTGCATTTATTTGATAAAAAATACAGTAAAAACAGTAATATTGCTAAATATTATTACAGTTTAAAATAACTGTTTTTATTTTATAATTTTATTTAAATGTAATTTATTGATGGCAAAGCCGAATCTTAAGCAGCCATTACTCCAGTCTTCAAAATCATTCTAATTTGCTGATTTGCTGCTCAAGAAATATTTCTTATTAGTATCAATGTTAAAACGGTTTTGATCAATATTTTTTTTTTTGGAAACCATGGTAGTGTTTTTATTTAAGATTCTATGAAGAATATAAAATGTAAAAGAACAGCATTTATTTGAAATAGTATTTTTTTTTTGTGACAATGTAAAAGTCTTTACTGTCACTTTTGATAAATTTATTGCAAACAAAAATTATTAATTTCATTAAAAAACTTTTTAAGTGACCTTTTAAATTATATATATATACACACACACACACACTGTATAAAAAGCTGTTGATAATACCTGAATATTTCAATTCCAGCTCATATTTTGTTTATACAGTGAACCCAAAAATATTTGGACATTTAAGTAAAATTAAAATGTGCGAATGTCAGTGCATTAGAAAAAGAGATTTTTCAGAAAAAGACACCTTTTCAGATCAAAACCAGCAAGAAAATTATTTCTGAGAAAAGCTATAGAGTTGACACTTGGTATGATATTTTTTAAATCTGACGCAATGGCATTATTTTTAAGTGTAACTTTTAAATGTTCAAATATTTTGGGGGGCCACTGTGCATCACTTATCTGTATGCATGGTTTGGTGGTTGACTGTCTGAATAGTTAAACCAGCAGCTGTAAATCATCACTTCAGTTTGAACGTGATACATCCCGTTTTTAAATTCAGCCTCAGATTGTTTTTAAATGAACATAATGAACTAGAAAGGAGAAGTGAGGTTAACATGTTGGCACTCCCACTGAGATGATTCGGGCTCTCCTGACTGCCCATGTCTGAATCATGTTATTGTCTGCATCCAATAATTGGCAGAACTGGCAGAAACACATACGTACAAGTTTTAACTATGGTAATGTTCTTGCCAGTTCTTCTGACATTTGCCTTCTTTGCCAAAATGCTTTTCATCTTGCAGTGGTGAATATCAGAAAAGAGAAAAGTTTAGGTAAAGTTAGACAATTTCTCCCTCCTCAGGGAAAATTGCCTCAGTCTTTGAACTATTTCCCAGTCTATCACTTGGTTCTCACGCTGTGTTTATTAAGAGCCAGACAGTTTTTCATGTCACTTTTACTCACCCCAATGGCTGTCAGAATGGGGACCTGGTAGATCCATTTGATGTTTCCTGCACTCAGCTCCCAGCACCTGCACAGATAAAGACAGATCGAATGATAGATTAACTGGCACACATGGTTTATGATTCAGGGGATATTTAAAAGGCACAGAGTGAGACAGTGGCAGATAGGCAGATAAGTTTACAGTCCCAGAGGCAGTGCTAACACAGTAATGATATACTGTACTTCACAGTGCATCCTATATAGATCAAAAGGACATCGTTTAGTCTCTCTCCCTCTCCTTGAAGTCACTGACCCCCTCCTTCACTTTAAGCAAACCAAGGCATTTTATAAAACTCATTTCTATTTGTTTACCACCAATTTGTTTCACCATTCATAATCCCGTTAGTAATGTTTACTATGATGTGGAGCTGAATGGATAATCTGCCATTCAGAGGACGTTCGTTCGTTATCCATAAATAGGATATACTGTAAGTACTCAGAGGGAAGCAGAATGCAAGCAGTCTGGAGCAAAACTGAAGAGACAATGAACATTCACTATTAATTACCTCAGAATGACAAACTGATTTTTAATTATCCTAATTAAAGGAATTTTAGTATCACAGATGATTACTAAATATGGGTACTGCAGGCAGTCAGGCAGTGTATCATGTCCACTCTACTTAGATATAAAGGAACAAAAGACGGAGTGCTGTTGTTTCTTTCCCATGCAATCTGACAAGGACTCATTAAAATATGACTGAGTCACTACTTTTTACATAACAATAGAAAATAAAACAAGCTTCACAGCAGAAAGACATCAATAGGGAAACACCAGAGAACCATATTTGTGTATAAGCCACACAAATGAGCAATGTTCAGGAAAAAACACCATTGTTCAATAAACAAATATATTAATAATATTAATTCTTCTTCTTCTTCTTCTTCTTATTATTATTATATGGGAGTCTCACATGGGAGTCCCAATCACCTCTGAGTAATAAAAAGCAGGCCAATGAACATTGGCGAGTGGAATTTGCATGCCCAGCCACTCCCCCGTACACACGGGTATATAAGAGGGCGTCGTGCATCCACTCATTCAGATTTTTGCTTCGGAGCCGAGTGGTTGCCCGTGTTTGAGCGATCACTCTTCCATTCATCTCTAAAACAGTAGAAGAGAAGTGAAAACTCTCTTGCTGCGGGTGATTCTGACAGCGCATTCAGCGGTGTTTCACCAGTGTTTGGCACAGATGAGTGCAGAGATTCCTACTGGGTGCCTCAGCACATAAAAGAGGAGTTTTCCCTAAAAGAGCATCACGGTGGTGAGCGTCTTTTTAAACATGCCTCCATCCATGCGTTTCTTGATGCAGTTGTTTTTGGGCCTCTTCTGATGGCCACAATTGCAGTCTCAAGTGCCTGAGAAGCATGCTGAGACTGTGTTTGTGGATGGTTTATGCTGTCGCTGAGAGAGCATAACCATGGCAACACCGCGATCATGACTCTCCTTCTTCATGAAGGTTTGAGTTCCCTCTGCCTCTACTCAGCTTCACACTGACTAGCGCTCTGGTAGATCAGAGGATTATAGCGCAAGCTTTCCACCGGGTCAGTCCCCACGGTCCTCCCACTACTCTTGCGCGTCACATACCGTTGTGCTCCCGAGTGATGCTGTTGCACTGTCTCATGACCGATCTTGCGTGTTATTCTGGGCTCCCGAGGAGGATCAGATTTCGATCGCTGCATCGGAGGGTGAGCCAGTGTCCCCTGATGATTAAGCCTCAGCTCAGTGTCACCCCTTTGGGCTGATTGCTCAGTCGGAGTCTGACTCCATGTTTTCCCAGGCCGCCATAAGCATCGAGCTGGAGTGGAATTCTCCACCCTGTCAAATTCAAATTCACCTTTTTACTGCCCGAAGCTGCTTCCCAGCCTCCTCCACCCTCACTACCCTCGATGGTGGGGCCACCTGGGAGTGGGCAGAGACTCCCCAGGAGGAGAGTGCGATTGCAGTGCAGCAAAACGCCACCGCCTAGGAGAATCATCCTGGGCCGGTGAGCTGATGTCAGCTTTCGCTGCTTAGACTTACTCACCATTAAACAGGCCGCCTCTACCTTGCATACGATGGCCATCCTGAAAATATATCAGGCCAAAGCACTGTATTGCACGGGGGTAGTTCTGAACAAGGGTTGATGTTGGAACTGCGCACGGTGACTGACTTTGCCTCTGGGTGAATAAGGTCACAGCACTGGCCCTCGGCCAGGCCATGTCCACTTTGGTGGGCCAGGAGCACCATCTCTGGCTGAACCTTGCAGAGATGTGCGACGCTGACAAAGTGCGCTTTCTTGATGCACCCATCTCACGAGCCAGCCTGTTTGGCGACACTGTCATAGATCTCAAACATACAGAAAACAGCCAGAGGCCATCAAACACATCATGCCCCGGTGTGTGACCACCACCACCAGGCCGCTGAGGGCTGGTCCCCAGTCTGTTCATCACCAAAAGCATCCCGCTGCGGTTTCTGCATCTGCTCCGGCACGGCATCAGCTGCAACTTTGGGCCACCCCCAGGAAGGCGATGCAGCCCGTGCCCCAGTCAGCCACTAAGTCCTCCAAGTGGACAGCGAAGTGGCCCTGACTAGGGTGATCTGGAGATAGAGGGGACTGGAGGTGGTGAATACAAGTCAAGTCAAGTCACCTTTATTTATATAGTGCTTTATGCAATATTTTTGTGATTGTGTCAAAGCAGCTTTACAGTGTTAAACAAGAAAATTGTGTCAGCAGGAGGACAATAGTAAACAGTCAATTTTTCAGTTAAAGTCAGCTCATTGTTGATTTAGTGATGTCATCATCCAGCTCAGTTCAGTCCTCTTCAAATAGTGTCTGTACAAAACGAAGCAAGCCAGAGTTTGGGCACTAAATAGGAAAAGGATCTGTCACCTGCAGTTGATATTCTAGGTATTATCAAATGGCCAAAGTTTTGAGATTGCAGCTGACGTGAAGGACTATAATGCGGTAAGAGCTAGCTGAAGTACTGAGAAGCTAAATCATTCAGGGCTTTATAAGTAATTAGCAAGATTTTTAATTGTATATGAAATAGTGTCTGTACAAAACGAAGCAAGCCAGAGTTTGGGCACTAAATAGGAAAAGGATCTGTCGCCTGCAGCTGATATTCTAGGTATTATCAAATGGCCAGAGTTTTGAGATTGCAGCTGACGTAAAGGACTATAATGCGGTAAGAGCTAGCTGAAGTACTGAGAAGCTAAACCATTCAGGGCTTTATAAGTAATTAGCAAGATTTTAAATTGTATATGATGCTTAATAGGGAGCCAGTGCAGTGTTGATAGAACCGGGCTAATATGGTCATACTTCCTGGTTCTTGTAAGAACTCTAGCCGCTGAATTTTGAACCAGCTGGAGTTTGTTCATAAAGCACGCAGAACAACCAACCAATAGAGCATTACAATAATCTAACCTTGAGGTCATGAACACATTAATTAACGTTTCTGCATTTAACAATGAAAGTGTAGCGTCTGGACCAATCAAACACACAATATATATTTTAAATATTTATAATTAATTATAACTAGTTATGATTAATTATTCATATTTCCCCATGAGCTGATTCGCTACAAAAGCATAGGTTGTAATTTAGATATATTTTTAAGATGGAATTTACAAGGGTAGCTTGTAACCTTGTGTACCTTGTGGTACTCCATACTGCACTTCTGAGCGATGTGATACCTCTTCATTCACTGCTACGAATTGATGATGGTCAGATAAGTATGATTTGAATCATGCCAGTGCAATAATGCCAACATAATTTTATAGTCTATTGAAAATAATATTGTGGTCGATAGTGTCAAAAGTAGAGCTACGATCCAGTAGCACTAATAGAGAGATACAACCACAATCGAATGATAAGCAGGTCATTTGTAACTGTGATGAGCGCAATCTCAGTACTATAGTACGGTCTAACTAATACCTGACTGGAAATCCTCACAGATACCATTTTTCTCTAGGAAGGTACATATTTGTGAGGATACTGCCTTTTCTAGTATCTTTGACAGTATCTATATTATGATGGGTGAGCGGGGAGAACCTGTTTAATGTTTTGATCGGAACGGAAGAGCTGTGTTTTGTCCCACGACTATGCCGCCTCACAGTCACCCAATCGTCCTGCAGCAGGGGCTCTGCAACAGGAACTGAACAATGTACAGGATTCACTAAGTTAGTTGCATCTAAAGCCATATCTAAGGCCCTCACATTCTTACTATCTTAACTTACACTGCTCTGTTACACTGCTCCTCCCCTCCCCCGGAGAAGGGCAGGGAAAAAAAGAGTCTTCTGTTTCATTCTGTTCAGCCGTTGGCCAAAGGGCCAGCAGTACCCAAATTCTCTATGAAAGAGTAGTTCCTTCAGTCTCGGGGTTACACTGGGTGAGGTCTGGCAGTGAGTGACATGATGCCTCCTCACTCCTACCCTCCCCCCCCCCACGCCATCAGGCTAAGAGCTCGTGCTTCAGAGACGCGTTGCTTCCTCATGCATCTCTGGCCACACCCTTGTGAGATCCATGGAGCCAGGTAAGTGCTATAATGCACTCACCACCCCTTCCTCAGGATGCAATGCTTCCAGGATTGGGGTCCAGCGCTCCTCGCTGCCCCTCTGCAGGTACGTCTATTGTCCAATTGATGCCACTCACAAGGAGCCTGAGGTCTAGCTAGTGCTTCCCAGTCCGTTCTGCTGGCTCATTCAGACAATCAGACTCAGCTACGTTCGCCAGGCGCCCCCTCCCCCCTTTCGAGGGTCGGGCATATCAGTACAAGGTTCCCCCCTTCGGGCATTCCCTGTATCTCCATGTCTTTACCAAAGTTACGGAGGCCACCCGTGCCCCGCTAAGGGAAGTGGGCATTCGCACTCTCAACTCAATCTTGACGACTGGCTCTTTCTAGCTTGCTCTCGAGATCTGTTGTGCAGACAAAGGGACCTTGTGCTCCGGCACCTCAGCCAGCTGGGGCTTCAGGTCAACTGGGAAAAGAGCAAGCCTTCTCCTGTGCAGAGCATCTCTTTTCTCAGTATGGAGTTGGACTCAGTCAACATGA